ATGACAAAGGTATCTCAATTACCCAACAAGTCTTTTGTATTGGGTTGGGTTTATATCATCTTCATCTGCATCTTTCGACAGTTGCAGTCTTGGTTCTGCAGGTGTCGAAGTTGAGTTTCATTCTTCCATCTCAAATCTCTTGAAAATTTTTCTTGCATATCTTCTTTGATGCATCGTCAAACCTCTACTTCTCTTGTAGAATTCGATGCCAAGAAAATATGAAATCTCACCCAGATCAGACATTTCAAATTCCTTGCTGAGATCACATTTGAAGTCTTCGATCTCACTTTGCAGCTACCTGTTATCAATAAATCATCGACATAGAGACATAGTATAACAATTCACTATTGCTTCTTCTTACATATACTCTGTGTTCAATTGTGCACTTCACAAATTCCTTCTCCCTTAGGAAACTATCAATTTTCTTATTCCAAGCTCTTGGAGCTTGTTTCAATCCATACAAGGTTTTATGCAGCCTATACACCTTTCTCTCTTCGTCATGTTTCACAAATCCAACTGGTTGTTTAACATAAACTTCTTCGTCTAAGGGTCCATTCAGGAATGCACACTTCACGTTCATCTGACATATGTGCCATCTATTTATTTCTGCTAGACCAAAAACCAACTTGATTGTTTCAATCCTAGAAACAGGTGTAAAAACTTCATCTAAGTCTATTCCTTCTTTCTGTAGAAATCCTTTCGCCACAAGTCTTGCTTTGTGTTGAGTTACTTCCCCTTTGGAATTCATTTTCACTTTGTATACCCACTTGACATCAATTTCCTTCTTGCCTTGAGGCGATTCAATAAGTGACTAAGTGTTGTTGTCTTCTATAGACTTCACTTCTTCGTTCATTTGTTTTCACCCACTTCAAATCCTTTAATGCTTCAGCTGCATTGACAGGTTCGACATATGCATAGAAAGCATAATGTAGAAACTCACCTTCATTATCTATCACATCATTTGATGTAATCACACAATCTTGTAATCTTGCAGGCATGCATCTTGTTCTTTAAGGTATGCTTGTACTTGGTTGATCTATAACTGATGGTTCCTCTTGTCGAACTTCTCTTTCGACTTGAGTTTCTGGTTCTTCAAGTAGGATTCCCACTGAATCTTTCTTGAAATTTTCAGTCCAATCCCATTCTTTAAGATCATCTATGATCACGTTCCCGTTGATCATAATTTGCTTGTTTTCTGGGTCGAATAACTTGTAACCTCCTGTCGAATGATATCCAACTAGAATTATTTGACTCGACTTATCATCAAGTTTTCTTCTCAACTAATCTGACACATGTCTATGTGCAATAGATCCAAATACCTTCAGATGACTCAAGCTAGACTTCACACCAGACCAACATTCTTGTGGAGTAATTCTTTCTAGCTTCTTCGTAGGACATCTGTTCAAAATGTATGTTGCAGTCGACACAGCTTCACCCCAAAACTCTTTAGGTAAATTCTTGCCTTTCAACATACTTCTCACCATATTCATGATAGTTCAATTCTTCCTTTCTGCAGTTCCATTATGCTGTGGAGTATAGGGTGGAACCACCTCATGCACAATCCCTTCCTTTTCACATAACCTGTCGAAGTTTTTCGACACATACTCTCCACCACCATCAGTTCTCAAAACTTTGAGTTTTCGACCACTTTGTCTTTCAACCATAGACTTAAACTTGGCAAATACGTCGATCACTTCACTTTTCTTCTTGATCAGGTAAGTCCACAACTTTCGACTGAAATTATCTATGAATGTAACAAAATATTTATTACCTTCCATCGAATCTACCTGGATTGGTCCACATACATTAGAGTATATGACTTTAAGAATAACCTTCGACCTGCTTCCTGCATCCTTGCTAAAGTTATTCTTGTGTTGCTTCGCCTGCACACATTCCTCACATACCTTGTTTGGAATGTCGATTTCTGGCAATCCTGAAACCATATTTCTTCTCTTCAAATCTCTGATGTCTCTGAGGTTGAAATGGCCTAGTCGATAATGCCATATCCATTCATCTCTGCTAGCTGCAGTCAAAAGGCACTTGTGCTTTATCACATTTAGTTCGATCTTGAAGGTTCTATTCTGAGACATAGGAGCCTTTAATATTAATCTTCCATTTGCATCGACGTCTCTCATCATCTTATCTTCGATAGAAACTTTATAATTATTTTCGAACAACTGCCCTATATTGAGAAAATTGCTCTTCATGCCTGGTATGTACAACACATTGGAAATTACTGGCCTCTTGCCAACTTTCATCATAATCATAACATCAGCAATACCTTCAGCTTCTAGGGTATTTTCATTTGCGAATTTTACCATATTTTTCATTGAAGGCTTTATGTTGACAAACCAGTCTTTCCTTCCAGACATATGTGATGAGCATCCTGAATCCAAGTACCATTGGTCCTTAAATCTATCTTCATCTCTTGTTGTGACCATCAACATCATCTCTTCTTCTTCATCTTTTGCAAACTTTGCATTACTTTCTTGATTCTTTCATTTTTCTGGACAATCACTCGAATAATGGCCATACTTCTGACAATTGTAACATTGAATGTGACACTTGTCAGGTTTTCGACCACCACCTCTTCCTCTATTTGCAACACCACCTATTTAGTTGCCTTGGTATGGTCTTCTCTGATTCGACACATTTCCTTCGTTCTAGTTTCCTCTACCAGTCAATTTGTTGTAGCCACCTCTACCTCTATCGAACCACTTTCCTTTGCCTTTGGTTTCTTTTGCTGAATGTGCCTGCAAAGCCACATCACTCTTCAACTTGCCTGCAGCTCTTTCAGTCATTCTTTGTTCATGAGATTCAAGCGTCCCTTGAAGCTCTTCCTTTGTCAATTTCGAAAAATCTTTCCCCTCTTCTATAGCCACCACCATGTGGTCGAACTTAAGAGCCAAAGATCTCAAGATCTTCGAAACAACAACTCTTGTTATTAATGTTTCTCCACATACCTTGATTTGATTCACTAGTTTTGTAACCCTAGTGAAAAAATTAGATATGCTCTCACTATCTTCCATCTGAAGCAATTCATATGTTCTCTTGTGAGTTTGTAACCTCACTTCTTTTACCTTTTCTGCACCACCAAAAGACTTCTCAAGAACCTCTCAAGCTTCTTTTGCAGATTCTGAATCACTCACTTTTTCAAAATTTTCTGGACTCAGACATTGATGAATTATAAAGAGTGCTTTATAACTCACCTTCTCAGATTCAATGTGTTTCTTTCTTCTTTTCTTCTTCTGAAGCATTTTCTCCAAGCGCTTCCAATCCATCCTTTACAAGATCCCAAATACCTTGACACCTGAATAAATCTTTCATCTGTTTGCACCAATTCTCATAGTTGTCTACTTTCAGAATTGGTAGAGCTGCTGGATAATTTGCATTCCCATAACTCGCCATCATGAATTCTTCTTCTTCCTCAATCGTTCTTGAACGATACTTCCCTTGAATCAATTAACCGAGCTCTGATACCAGATGTTGGAAATCCACCAAATATCTATGATGAATTTCTACCAATCTTGATGAACAAGATTGATATCACCATACAATGATGATGAATTATGAGAAGAAAAAAAAGAATAAAAAAGATAATTATTTTCTGCAAAGTTTCTCTCTGCCCACAAACTGTAGAAAACTTTATTAATCACTTGCAACTGCAATTCTGTTTTTACAATGAATTGACTTAATTACAAAATTAGGGGTTACTCCCTCTATTTATAGATTTAGGTTAGCTTGCTCCCTAAGACAAAGCCCAAAACTATAAAAGTCCAAAATACCTATTTTGATACTAAATCAAATCTATCTATTTTAGATCTAAATCAAATCTATCTAAATTTAAAACCAATCAAATCTGTGTGTAGTTTGCTTTGATCCACAAACTCTTCGACTGGGCAACCTCCCTTTGACACACACTGTTTCGACACAATCGAATTACAATTTAACATATATAATATATGTAGATTGTTTATTTTATTAACCCTTCATTGAACACACATTAATTTAAAATGATTTAGAAGATAATAATTTGAAAATTAAGTTATATTTGAAATGAACCTTGGATCATTCAATGTTTCTCAATTTGCATACATCTCACAATTCATCTATCGCTCCTTAGCACATAGAAGTTGGTTTATTTCCCTAAGTTCTTCAAAGCAACTGTCTGTTCCTTATTAATTTATATTGCAAAACATCAAATTTGTTGAGATATTTCGAATCATCTTCATTGATGTCATCATAATATTCATTATCATCGATTAAAATAATGATGATGATAGCGGTGATAATGATTCTGAAATAGTCAACATATTGATACTTTGGAAAATAAACTAGGAATGAATTGTTTCCTTGAAGAACTTCGGTCATTGAATCAAATATTAAATCTTAAGTAAAAAGAGATGTATTATGATTTGAATGCAATTTGAAAATCAATAGTTGGTTTAAATTGTTTTTCAAGAATAACTAAAGTTCTCATTTAATGCTGCCCTATCAAAAAAGGGACCGATACCCAAACCAAAACCATTAATTAGTAAGCATGTCTTCTGCAACAATACTTTCTTTCATTCTCTTCAGAAAATTTTTCAATTCCTGTCTCATCCTACAGAGGGAAGAAGCGAAGATAAGAACAAAACACTAAGAGCACCTCCAGCGGCCTGTTTTTTCTATTGGTTCACCAGCTGTCCAACGGAGCGTGTGTTTTTTCTTTCCATTAAAGTTCTCCAGCTGGCAAACGTACACATAGCAAGCAACGGTTAGTTTTTAATTTTTTATATTAAAAAATTAAAACTAGTCGTTGGCTAGTTACTTTTTTTTTTAATTTTAATTTTTTTAACTTATTTTTTTTGTTTATAAATATAAGTTTCAAATTATTTTACCAACACAACATTTTTTTTACTTCTACTTTCTCTTAAATTTCAAATTCCTCTCTCACAATTTTATTATTTTACTCTGCAACTTTAAATTTTTTTTCCAACTATTTATTCTCATTAGGACAAATGGATCCTAATCAATTTCATTATCAACAAGCTATGTTCAATTTCATGCAAAATTATCAAAATCATAATCCTCAAAATTCTCAAATTCCATCGATGCCAACAAACCCCGCCATATTTTTTCCATCACCAAACAATCCAAATATGTATCATATACCTCAAATGAATTCTAATAGTATGGAATTTTCTACCCAAGTTCCACCATTTTCTACTCAAGTTGGTACTCAAGTTGTTAAAAAAAATCTCGAGAGCAATTTACAAGGGATGAGGATATACTTCTTATCCAATCATGTCTCAATGTTTCAAAGGATCCAATTGTGGGAGTTGATCAAAAGGCTGAGAGTTTTTGGTTAAGAATAGCTGCCAATTATAACCAGTATCATGGGCAATCGCGGGAAAAGTTAGGGGGGAAATTAAAATGTCGATGGCATAGAATAAATGGTTTGGTTCAAAAATTTGTTGGGTGTTACAAACAAGCTGTTAATGGAAAGAAAAGTGGGACATCAGATAACGATATCATGGCCTCTGCACATGCTTTTTTTGCTCAGGATGAAGGTACAACATTCAATCTTGAGTACGCATGGCGATTGTTAAAAGATGAACCTAAATGGATGGGAGAATCGATTGGAAATTCTTCAAAAGTAACAAAGACTTCTGCTAGTGGGGCATCATCGGCTAACTCAGATACACCTTCAAGTTACGAGTTTAACTCATCATCACCAATGGAGCGTCCAATGGGACAAAAAGCAGCAAAAAGGAAGGGTAAGGCAAAGGAAATTCCAAATGCAACACAAGATGCAAGGAATAAAAGAGCAGCAGCAATGGAAAGACTAGCTAAAAGTAAGGAGGACGAGCTAGAATTAAAGGCAATGCAAATCATCATGAAAGACACTTCTACTATGAGTGATAGTCAACGAGATATTCATGAAAAATATTGTAATAAGATGAAAAAAAAAATGGATTGTAGTTAGTATCACTTATGTAAAATGGACATTAGTACCACTTTAAATTATCAACACCTATGTAAAATGGTCATTAGTACCACTTTAATTTATCAACGCCTATGTAAAATGGTTATTAGTACCACTTTAAATTATCAACACCTATGTAAAATGGTCATTAGTACCACTTTAAATTATAATAAATATTATGTTATTCAAACTAGTCGTTATTCAAACTAGCCGTTATTCAAACTAGCTGTTATTCAAACTATCCTTTATTCAAACTAGCCGTTATTCAAACTATCCTTTATTCAAACTAGCCGTTATTCAAACTAGCCGTTATTCAAACTATCCTTTATTCAAACTAGCTGTTATTCAAACTAGCCGTTATTCAAACTAGCCGTTATTCAAACTAGTCGTTATTCAAACTAGCCGTTATTCAAACCATTATATATACTATCACTTATGTCATTGTTTTCCCATTCTCATCTTATTCTTCTATCATACTTCTCTAATTATTCTCTCATTTTTCTATCACTCTTAATTCACTAAAATGGATTCAGACAATTCAGATGATTTCGACCAAGAATTTTGGGAGTTGGTTGAAGAAGAATTTATCGACAATAATGATGAAGAACAATTGCTTGAAAATGAACGTCAATCTGGAAGTTCATCTATGCCAAAGAGAAGAACAATGGTAGATCGTAGTCGTGAAGAAGGGCACAATCGATTATTCAATGACTACTTCTCGGAAAACCTAGTATACACAGATGTTCAATTCCGAAGAAGGTTCAGAATGCATAGGCATGTATTTCTTCGAATTGTAGATGCCCTTGGAAATCATGATGAATATTTCCAAATGAGGGTTGATGCAACTGGTAAAATGGGTCTTTCACCATTGCAGAAATGTACATCTGCTATTCGTATGTTGGCGTATGGGTCTCCTGCTGACGTTGTAGACGAATATGTTCGAATAGGTGAAAGCACTTCAATTGAGTGCTTACAAAGATTCGTTCGGGGCGTGAATGCTGTATTTGGGGCTGAGTATTTGAGAAAGCCTAACAACACTGATGTTGAACATCTTTTACAAATGGGAGAGTCACGTGGCTTTCCAGGTATGTTGGGTTCCATTGATTGTATGCATTGGGAGTGGAAAAATTATCCTGTTGCATGGAAAGGACAATTTTGTCGAGGTGATCATGGAAAGCCCACAATCATGCTTGAAGCAGTGGCATCACAGGACTTATGGATTTGACATGCTTTTTTTGGTATTGCTGGTTCAAACAATGACATTAATGTGTTAAACCAATCCAATGTGTTTAACGATATTTTGGAAGGACATGCTCCCAATGTGCAATATACAATCAATGGAACACCATATAATATGGGGTATTATTTAGCCGATGGTATATATCCTGAGTGGGCTACATTTGTGAAGACCATTTCAATGCCACAAGGAGAGAAGAAAAAATTATTTGCTCAACATCAAGAATCCGCTAGAAAAGATGTGGAGAGGGCATTTGGAGTGCTTCAATCTCGATTTGCAATTATACGTGGTCCAGCGCGTGCCTGGCACATGGACACCCTCAAACATACCATATATGCGTGCATCATATTGCACAACATGATTGTTGAAGATGAACGACATACATATGGAGGTAATTTTGATTACTCTTATGATAATGTGGATAACAATCACTCAACAACTGAAACATTTAGCGGTCCTCATCCGAATCTTGCAACAAGACTACAAAGAAGAGCAAATATTCGTGAAAAACAAGTTCATCGTCAACTTCAAGGAGATCTAGTCGAGTATATTTGGGAACGTTTTGGACATGAAGATGATGAAATTTATGTTAAATTGTAATTCATATGTGTCAAAAGAAGATTTGATTTGTTTAGATTTAAATAGATTTGAATTTAAATCTAGAATAGATTTGATTAGATTTGATTTAGTAAAGAGATATTTTGGGCTTGGGTTTAGCTTAGGGAGCAAGCTAACCTAAATCTATAAATAAGAGGGAGTAACCCTTATTTTGTATTCAAGTCATTGAAGTCATTCACAGTATTTTGCAGTTGCAAAGTGAATAATAAAGATTCCACAGTTTGTGGGCAGAATAGAAATTCTGCAGAAATATCTCCATTGTTCTTTTATTTGTTTGTTTCATAACTTATCATCAAGTGGTGGTCGAAATTCATCATAGTGTATTGGTGGATTTCCAACATCTGGTATCAAGAGCTTGTGTTTCGATTCAAGGGAAGTATCAATCAAGAACGATTGAAGAATTCAAGATGACAAGTTATGGGAATGCAAACTATCCAGCAACGCTGCCAATTCTGAAAGTTGACAACTATGAGAATTGGTGCAAGCAGATGAAAGTCCTATTAAGGTGTCAAGGCCTTTGGGACCTTGTAAAAGATGGAGTCGAAGCGCTTGGCGAAAACGCTTCAGAAGAAGAAAAGAAGAAATATACAGAATCTGAGAAACAGAGTTATAAAGCATTGTTTATAATTCATCAATGTGTCAGTCCAGACAATTTCGAGAAGATTGGTGATTCAGAATCTGCAAAAGAAGCTTGGGAGATCCTGGAGAAGTCTTTTGGAGGCGCTGAGAAGGTGAAAGAAGTGAGGTTACAAACTCACAAAAGGACCTATGAACTGCTTCAGATGGAAGACAGTGAAAACATATCTGATTTCTTCACTAGAGTTACAAAACTAGTGAACCAAATCAAGACATGTGGAGAAACATTAACAACAAGAGCTGTTGTTTCGAAAATCCTGAGATCCTTAGCTCCTAAGTTCGACCACATAGTGGTGGCGATAGAAGAAGGGAAAGACTTGTCGAAATTGACAAAGGAAGAGCTTCAAGGGACGCTCGAATCTCATGAACAAAGAATGAACGAAAGAGCTGCAGGAAAATCGAAGAGTGATGTAGCCTTGCAGGCATACTCAGCAAAAGAAACCAAAGGCAAAGGAAAGTATTTCGACAGAAGTAGAGGTGGCTACAACAAATCGAATGGTAGAGGAAACCAAATCGAAGGAGACGTGTCGAATCAAAGAAGACCACACCAAGGCAACCAAAGAGGTGGTGCTGCAAACAGAGGAAGAGGTGGTGGTCGAAAACCTGATAAGAGTCACATTCAATGTTATAACTGTCATAAGTATGGTCACTATTCGAGTGATTGTCCAGAAAAACGAAAGAATCAAGAAAGTGATGCAAAGCTGGCAAAACATGAAGAAGAAGAAGAGATGATGCTGATGGTCACAACAAGAGATGAAGATAGATTCAAGGACCAATGGTACTTGGATTCAGGATGTTCATCACATATGTCTGGAAGGAAAGACTGGTTCGTCAACATAAAACCCTCAACGAAAAATTTGGTAAAATTTGCGAATGACAACACCCTAGCAGCTGAAGGTATTGGTGATGTTATGATCATGAGAAAAGATGGCAAGAAGTCAGTAATTTCGAATGTATTATACATACCAGGCATGAAGAGCAATTTGCTCAGTATAGGGCAGTTGGTCGAAAAGTATTATAAAGTATCAATCGAAGATAAGTTGATGAGAGTTGTTGATGCAAATGGAAGAGTAATCTTGAAGGCTCTTATGTCTCAGAATCGAACCTTCAAGATTGAACTAAATGTGATGGAGCACAAGTGCCTTTCGACTGCAGCTAGCAGAGATGAATGGATATGGCATTATAGACTTGGTCATCTCAACTTCAGAGACATCAGAGATTTGAAGAGAAGAAATATGGTTTCAGGATTGCCTGAAATTGACATTCCAAATGAAGTATGTGAAGAATGTGTGCAGGCGAAGCAACACAAGAACAGCTTCAGCAAGGATGCAGGAAGCAGATCGAAGGCTAATCTCGAAGTCATATACTCTGATGTATGTGGACCAATCCAGGTGGATTCGATGGGAGGTAACAAATACTTTGTTACATTCATAGATGATTTCAGTCGAAAGCTATGGACTTACCTGATCAAGAAGAAAAGTGAAGTGTTCGAAGTATTTATCAAGTTCAAGTCCATGGTCGAAAGACAAAGTGGTCGAAAGCTCAAAGTTTTGAGAACTGATGGTGGAGGAGAATATGTGTCGAAAGATTTCGACAGATTATGTGAAAAAGAAGGGATTGTGCATGAGGTGGTGCCACCCTATACTCCACAGCAAAATGGAATTGCAGAAAGGAAAAATCGAACCATCATGAACATGGTGAGAAGTATGTTGAAAGGCAAGAAGTTACCCAAAGAGTTCTGGGGTGAAGCTGTTTCGACTGCAACATACATTTTGAACAGAAGTCCTACAAAGAAGCTAGAAGGAATTACTCCAGAAGAATGTTGGTCTGGTGTGAAGCCTAGCTTAAGTCATCTGAAAGTATTTGGATCTATTGCACATAGACATGTGCCAGATCAGTTGAGAAAGAAACTTGATGACAAGTCAAGTCAAATGATCCTAGTTGGATATCATTCGACAGGAGGCTACAAGTTGTTCGATCCAGAGAACAAGAAGATTGTGATCAGCAGGGACGTGATCATAGATGAGTTCAAAGAATGGGATTGGACTGCAAATGTCAAGAAAGATTCAGTGGGAATCTTATTCGAAGAGCCAGAAACTCAAGTCAAAAGAGAAGTTCGACAAGAGGAGCCAGCAGATATACCCAGTACAAGCAGACCTCAAAGAACAAGACGCATGCCTGCAAGATTGCAAGATTATGTGATTACATCAGATGATGTAATAGATGATGAAGGTGAGCTAGTACATTATGCTTTCTATGCAGATGTCGAACCTGTTAATGCAGCTGAAGCATTAAAGGATTCGAAGTGGGTGAAAGCAATGAACGAAGAAGTAAAGTCTATCGAAGACAACAACACTTGGTCACTTGTCGAATTGCCTCAAGGCAAGAAGGCAATTGATGTCAAGTGGGTATACAAAGTGAAGACGAATTCGAAAGGTGAAGTAACTCGACACAAAGCAAGACTTGTGGCGAAAGGATTTCTACAGAAAGAAGGAATAGACTTCGACGAAGTTTTTGCACCTGTTGCTAGGATCGAAACAATCAGGTTGGTTGTTGGTCTAGCAGAAATCAACAGTTGGCACATATGTCAGATGAACGTGAAGTGTGCATTCCTAAATGGACCCTTAGATGAAGAAGTCTATGTTAAACAACCAGTTGGGTTTGTGAAACATGACGAAGAAAGAAAGGTGTACATGAGACATCATGACGAAGGGAGTGCAGTTCGAAGTATTCAGAAAGCTAAGGGCCATGATGAACATAGACAGTTTAGACACAATGAATTAGGTGGTGTGTTAAATTGTAATTCATATGTGTCAAAAGAAGATTTGATTTGTTTAGATTTAAATAGATTTGAATTTAAATCTAGAATAGATTTGATTAGATTTGATTTAGTAAAGAGATATTTTGGGCTTGGGTTTAGCTTAGGGAGCAAGCTAACCTAAATCTATAAATAAGAGGGAGTAACCCTTATTTTGTATTCAAGTCATTGAAGTCATTCACAGTATTTTGCAGTTGCAAAGTGAATAATAAAGATTCCACAGTTTGTGGGCAGAATAGAAATTCTGCAGAAATATCTCCATTGTTCTTTTATTTGTTTGTTTCATAACTTATCATCAAGTGGTGGTCGAAATTCATCATAGTGTATTGGTGGATTTCCAACAATTTAAGTTTGATTAATTTATGTGATGTTATTTATTTTTATTGTTTTTAATTATATGTAATGTATTTGAAATTAATTTTAATTATCATTTTAAATTATAAGTTTAATTTGAATTTTATTTATTTTATATAAATTTTAATTTAAATAATTAAAATTATTATTTTAAATGATATAGAATTTAATATGAATAAAATATTAATATATAAAGTAAAATTGTGGGACCCATTATGAGTTCTTTAGAGTTGCACCATTGGAGTGAAAAATTAGTTGGGTTGCTTCAAACTGACGTGGCTTAATGGGTCCCGCAAAGAACCTAAAATTGAGTTGCACCATTGGAGATGCTCTAAGATAAATGACTTTACCCCAGCATCGATAATTGCTTCCTATCTGATTAAATGATACTCTAAATAAAATTATAGTTTTGGCCAATGAAAAGTATACTCAGTCGTCTTCAACATTAAAGTGAATGCCAAATACTCTAGCATCAGGTCTTTATTGAACTGTAATATGTATTAAGAAGTGCTAGTGTAGGCCGAGTACTGGATTTTTGTCGAGACTTTTGTAATATCAACAATTAAATTTGTTCTTGTGATGGAAATTAACTTTTGAGAGGGAGTTGTAATAAGGGTATGTAACCAAACGGCTGAAACTGTCTTCATTTATCTGTGTTTCACATCAATATGCTTTATTTTATTGAAGTCTATTAATTTATATCTAGTTAAAAAAGAATAAAAATTGAAAATTAAAATCACGTCAACAATAATAATAACTGTCTCTGAGGCACACCATTAAGTAAAAGGAAAATGTCACTTATGCAACATTTTAACTTTTATTATAACCTGTTTTCCACATTAAAATAAATTGAATGCTATGAGATAATGCTGAATATTTGAATTGAACCATCAAGAGATAATTAAGTGAGAAAGCACAAGGAAACATCTCTTGGAGTATAAAAAAAATCAAGTCAAAATAGAGTCTAACCAATCTGATGTGAATTCATAAGCAACAAAAGTTACAGCACCAGCACATTCTCTAAGTCAAGCATATGAGATCTTCTAAAGGGTTAGCTTTTTCTATCAAGTATAAGATAATATTTGGTAGGACTAAGTATCAACGGTTTGACTTGAAGAGGTGATGAAGAAACTCTATTTATTATTTACCATCTCCTACATTGTTTTCTTTATAT